ACTACCAAAGAAACAAAAACACTCTTAGTTTTAATATTGTACTTAATGTTTCCGAGGATAATATTATGGGATTAGTTAGAAATAACTTAATTAATTGAATAATAATATTCTTTTAATATGAATAAAATATTTTAAGTTTAAGTTGTATGATATATGAGTAATGTAAATTAAATAATGAAGGATATATTTTTCATTGTACAGTTAAAAATTAATATATATATATAGTTAAAATCCACTTATATATAAATTGTACCATTCTACACTTACACAAAATCTTAATTATCTATCTCTCTTTAATTCTTACATACCACACTTATTATGGGATCAATCTAATAAAAAATAAATAGTTAAAGGACTAAATCGATCAAAATGTTTACCGAATAACCCAAATCACAAAACAAAAAAAGTACAGGACCCACGTCTTAATCCCCGAAATTTTAATTCATCGCATTTTCCAGCAAAAACGCATGTAATTAAATACTTTTCGGACATGTTTCTTTTTCATTGACCAACCAAATTAAATTCAATGGATTCCACCTCAAAACGACATCGCTTAATCCCAAACCCCATCTAATCTCTATATAACACCCTCACTGCGCCCCCCCTCTTCTTCTCCTTCCTCGTGGCACCCACCTTTTTCTGCTTTCTCCATTGAAGAATTCTTTAAGGTATTATTTATTCCTCTTTCCTTCTATTTCTTTTTTAATATTTTCTCCTTTTAATTTTGGATAATTTTTATTTTGTTATTTTTGCCTGTATTTTCGTAGATCCAGCCTTGTAATTTCTTTTCTGTTAATTTTCTGTTTTTTTTTTCAAGTCTTCAAATTTAATACCTAGTTTTTTCTTCATCTTTCAGAACAGATCTGATGAATTTTAGCTGTACGTTTCAAAATCTGGTCTGATTTTGTTTTTTCTGTTCCGAATCTGTCGAAATCTCTCTGTTTATTACACATCGTGGAATTAGACACCGCGATTTGATGAGATAAAAATATTTCTTGAAATTTTGGGGGTTAGATTCGTGCAGAAAGTGTAGAAGTGAAAAGATTTGCTTGTTTCTGAGGTGTGTTTGTTTAGATCTGTGTTGATTTGCTTGGATTTTCTGTTTGGATGATGGGAAAATTTAGGGGAAATTAAAATAAGCGCAGTACGGGGATTAGGGGCTTTATTTTCTCGTCTTTTACTTGATCTCGAACATCGAGCGTTTAGATTTTTCTTTTCTTGCAATAAATTTTTTATTTATGAGTGTTTTTAGATCTGTGTTTTGTTTGGGAAGATTGACTGAATTTATGTGTGTTCTGTTGGTATTTATAGGCGTTCTTCTGTAGATTTGAAGATGAATCATTGTAATCTTCAGCAGAACGCCGTTGTGGCCTGTGAGGAGATGAGAGGCTTGCTTTCCATCTCTGATCTGAAGGGCCCAGTTATTTGCCCCAAGCCTCGGCGAGTTGGGATGCTGGCTAATAACCCTAACAGATCGTTGAGGTGTTATGTTAGGTATGTTATTATCTGCAGATTTGGTTTCTATTTGATTTGAATAAACTATTCATCTCTTCTGAATTTTTTAGAGACTATGAACTTAAGGGTTATTTGTTTAATTGCAGCCAACAAGCTGAGGTGTGTGACTCAACAGCCGGGGCTGAGCTTCTAGATATCATTCTTAGGAAGGTAAATTGCTTTTTTCATTTAATTTTCTTTTGTTTGCATGGTCTTTCTTTGAGCTGATATGGATTACTTGTGATGTATGTAGTATATCATATATTTGTGAATATATCCATTTGGTTTACATATACGATCTGTGGGCTGCTTTTGATATTGAGTAGCTCAGTGGCCAATAAATCTAAAGAATGTACTCCAAAAGATTTCAAATTTCCAAACTATAGACCTTTATGTTTCAAATATTTTTCCTAGTGGTTCATTGGTTTCAAGCAAACAAAAGCTTTCAGTCATATTGTTCCTAGTGGTTCATTGGTTTCAAGCAAATATCAGCTTTCAGTGGATCATTGATTGACTAGTATTTTGGGTGTGATGCAGGAGGATTTTGTAACAGAACCACCTGTCACCCCTGTAGCCTCATCACCCCCATTTTTTTGTGGGTCTCCTCCAAGCAGAGCTGCTAACCCACTTGTACATGATGCTCGCTTTGGAGACGAAAGACTCACTCCCATTCCATCACTGCAAATTCCATCCCCATCAGGTTTATCATCTCCATCATCAGCAACACGCAAAGGAGGATGTGTTAGAATGAAGTATGGCCTCAAACCAGCCGCAGTTAGAGTAGAAGGTTTTGACTGCCTCAACAGGGATCGCCAGAATTCCAGCATCCCTGCCATGGCATAGAACTCCATGAAACTAAGTGTACATAAAATGAAGCTAAATGCCACCACAGAGCAGAATTAACAAGGAGGGAATTTTGGATATTTTTGGAGAAAGCGAGAGAACTGAGATATTTCTGTGAGTAGTGTATATACAATGTCATTTTGTTCGTGATGTATTTTAATCACTAATAGGGCTGTAAGTATATTTTGAATGAGCAAGCGATAAGGCAAACCTTGTTGTGAAGAAGGGTTTGAATTTGTTGAATGGCAAGGTTCTTTTTTGTAATATAAAATGGGTTAGTTCTGAGAGAGTTGTTTGAATTTGTTCTGAGGATCCTCACCATGGCAAATTCCTGTATAGTGCATATTGGTGATTAGGATTCCTGTCATTCACTGCACAATGTAAAAGTACTTGGCAAATGCCAATGACTTGGATCTTATAAATATCATCTTCTTCTTGTTAATTCAGTTTTCCACTGCTTATAGCCTGCCTGTTGCATGTTTGTTTTGTATGACGAATGTGTTTTGATATTAACGACCCCTATGCACAATAACAAATTTTTTGGGTAATCAAGAAGCATGCCTATTAAGTGCTCTCACTACACCGCAAAGAATCTGAAAGGCTTTTCCTCTTTTTTTTTGTTCTCCTTTTATCTTAATCTGAAAGACTTTTCCATTTTTTTCTCCTTTTATCTTACTCTTGTTATGTGATGATTTTTTTTTTATTAGCTTCTGATATCTAATTAAAAGTCCAGTTGAAATTTAATTATTTTGAAATTATGTTACATCAAATCTTATAACAATAAAATTTTTTCAGTACTTATTTTTGCATTTATAAAATTTAAATTTGAGAACTTATTCAAAGATAATTAATTTTTTTTACCCAAATAAATAAGTGGTTGGTTTTGTTATATGAAGATGTTGCTATTGTTGAAAAAAAATAATATAGTTATGATATTATAATAATATATTATTAAATAATTAATTTTTTATTTATTATATAATACCTATTTATTTATTTAATAATTATAATATTACATAATATTTTAAATTTATTATAATAATATATTATTATATATATTAATCTGTGATATTATATTCTTATGTATTTATTTATGAGAAGAAAAATCTTACCAAGAATAGCCTTTCCCTATGCTAAACGACGACATATCAGCTGCGCCGTCCACAACGCAAACTAAAACCCAGTCGCTTTCTTCAACCGAACAGATTTCGTGCATCGGGTAGTCCGACACGCAAGTGCAAAGTCCAGTATTCTTGTTTGCGTTTGCGATCATAGGAAATTTCGTTGGTTGGTGTTGTTTCTTAATACGACTCTGCATTGTTTATTTCGATGCGTATGGAATATGGACGCTTCAAATGAGCCGAGGAATTTAACTAATTCCTGAAAACCAAAATTGGAAAAAAAAAATCAATTCTGAGAACCAGTCTTTGCCCTTTCCTTTTTTATTCCGATTATTCGTACTTTTTTCTAATTAATTGAGTATTGAAAAGGAACATTAAATCATAATTAATTAAAATTAAATTATTATTTTTATTTAAGTTACACAATAAAAAATAATTATTTTTT